CGATCTGTCGTAGAGCTCATAACGACTTTCCCCAAGCAGCAGCACAATACAACACCACCATCACCACCAGGGATGAACCAGCTCTGGCTCCTCCGTCGTCGTCGTCGTCTTCCTTCCATTGTGTTCCCCAGCAGCACAAGGTAATTACTTTCTCCGGAAAAAGAATCAAATCCAGTCCAATTTCACCTCAGTGGAGCACTGTTTCACTGGGAATTCGAAAAATAAGATTGGTCGTAGTCAAATTTTCTTAAAAATCTAGACGTATGTGATCTCATTTCGAAAAAAAGAGGGAATTCACACGGATGGAGCAGGGAAAGTGAAGCGGGTGAAGCACCATGCGGGTTACTTGGCTGTCAGTCCTCTTCCGTCTTCCAGCAACAGATAAGCATTTGGTATTCACTTCCTAATTAAGAGTAAATATAGTTTTATTATAAATAGTTAAGAAATTGGGGAATCATTTGAATATTTGAGGTGTTTGGAGTGGGTTTCCTCCAACTTTTCTCATAAGCACGCAGCAGGTTTCTGATCCTAAAAAGTTACACATAACCCCAAGCTTTCCAAATTACTTTCTCCACTGCTAGCTACCCCTTCGTCTCGTTTCTTAAATTTCTTCTTGTTTAGATAATTAGATAAGATTCTTAACTTCCAATACCATTGCATAGCATAATATTTTGACAAATTTTACAATTTTATAGAGGTGACACAAATATTTCAAGCCATACGTATGCCAAGATCGCATCACAAAACATCCCCCTCTTGTAAAATACTTCGATCACTATTGTAGAAATTTAGATTACTAATTTCAAACTAAATACGCAAATTAAAAAGAAACAGTACTAATACTAATTTGATTTTGTGTCGATTTAAGTTCAGTTTAATGCTTTTTACCTTGAGCATTTTTTCTTGCTTTCAATGCCCCAACCAACCAACTATTGTAGTTCATGTCTCAATACTGTAGTACAATTGGCTTTCAATTTCATAAACAGTTTCAAATCTGCTACAATTCCATTGTTTTAGATTGCAGCCTGCTGTCACCAGGAAACTCGAATGAAAGTGTTGTCCATAAAAGCTACTGTACATTGCTCAGGATTGTTTTTAAACTCTTGTGCGTGTGACAGCGGCTATTTTGGCTCAACGATAGCGACAGGATACTTGCTGATTTCGGAAAAGTATGCAACAATTGGCCAATTACATCAACCATATTGCAATATCAGGTAATACATTAATTGAAAAAAAACTTGATGTTGAGTTTGATCAATTTCTGTATTAAATTTGTCTGGTTTTGCAGAAAATGAATGGAAGTCTCAAAGCAATTGGTAATACTGCTGAAATTACTGGTGAATCAACTCTTTGAGATGAAAGTAATGTTTGAAAATATTTCAGGGTCCAAAATGGACTCTGATACCACCAATAATTCCTTCCTGGGGGTGAACGAGGCCACCGACTATTGGTAACTACTCCAGCTTATGGACGATTATTGTGTAAGAATTCTTTACATACTATTTCTATTCTTCTCAAACCAATACTCTACAAAAATAGATTGCAATCTTGTGCATTTTTACTTTTATGTAGATATCCGCAGTCTGACTGTGAGATCACTTGGCAGCTGAATGTGATAATGTATCCCTGAATCAGTATCGGATTCTCAAAAAAAGTGATGAACAGAACACCACTGTTTGATGATTATGACTAATGATTTCAAATACCAGCGAAAATATGATGACATAAGTGTACACTGCTTTCACTTTTATGACATATTCGAATTTACACGTATCGTCCGTTACATAACTACCAATTAAGTATAACTTGTAGCAGTAATAAGTTCAACAAACGGTTTCAACTCGAGAGAAAGTATAATATTTTATCTACAAGTCATTTAGCATTCAGAGAATGGAAATGAACTAAAAGAACAAAATTGTATTCCAAACTTGATCAGAATCCATGATCAAACTTCAAAAAACCTTATCAACAGCTATCAATAATACAAAAAGATGATCATCGCTTTGACCAGCAGATGCTTCCTGCTTAAAAAATATCAAATAAGTTTACAAAGCCACATACAGTAAATCAACTTGATGAACTAGAACATACATACAAAAAGTTCCTCATCATTAGAATTTAGTCTAATAAATCATCAATTAGTCATATCGCACATCAACTTATTTATATAATTAAACTTTCCTACAAGTCATTTAACCCGGAAATAAAAATATTTCGAGACTCTTTTCTTCTGCGAAGCTACACTTTACAAACATATCCAGGGAATATAATCAACTATAAGAAACAAAATAATGGATTTATAAAGTGTAAAGGGATTAAAATACACACTGTAGGCAACACTTTTCAGTAAGGATTTTTCCATTTTCAACATTACACCGTTGGAGATATTCATTTGTATCGATACGATACCTTTATCGTGTTGAGCTCAAGTTTTACTTGGAAATTTGGTTGTTATTTTAATTACAAGATACAAACACGATTATTTAGCAACAACATTTTTCAGTTCAATGAACTGCACTAAATAAGTACCAGGAAGTTTATTTGTTGAAGACTTTTGCTTCATGTAAACTGATTCTTAAACAATTTTATGAAACTTTAAGAATTTTTGGTACCTTCTCACCGAATTAATAAATGATTATGGGAATGAAAATACCTACGATACACAAAATAAGAATACGATTTTCATGAACATTTTCATCCTTAACTCTTTATTTGGACAACACTATTAAAATAACCTGATTATGAAATACACAGTTTTGACATATCCATCCATTCGTATCCCGGACATTGAACGTGAATGATAAGCATTTCAATCATAATAAAATTGTGTAGATAAGATTTGAACGAACAAATTGAATGCTCTTGTTCCTGATTTTTCCTTATCACCCTCCACAAGGGTCAAGCATCAAATTACACAAGTCAAATCTACAACCGTTAACTTCTGGACAATGCATACCAAAATAAAGTTTAGACTGGTTTAATTTTAAGAAATTCTCGTATTTCTTGACTACTCGAGTACCATGAAGTAGATGGAATTATTTATTTGAATATGTAGATAACGTGTAAAACTACAATGAGTACATAAATCAAAGAACACCACGGACACGTGGAGAAATCATGACAAAAGGTTGAAAGGTGGATATTGACTCTTGTTGATTTTTCTACTTGAGATTTTTTTAAATTTTTATTTCGGATGAGAAACATACATTTATGTAACGTTGAGCAGTCATGGTCTTACTAATTTCACTGAATGACGTAGTCTTAGAATACAATTTGGGTTCTTATGTAGGCAAATGTTTCAATATTCATTACTTGGTCTCATGAAGAAGAATAGAGCAAAGAAAACAAAATTTACATGAAGCTGCTGAATGCACCTACATTCTCATGAGTCAAATAAAGCTACTTGCATAAATATATATATAGACTTTTTGGTTGAGGTACATCCTACAAATCCTTGATGTTGCTTTCTTACTTATTAATCTATAATATTTGCTAGCTTAAAAGTAGAACAAGTCATTCCAAAAATAAATGCATAAATTAATATCGAAGGAATGGAAGCCATAAATAATTGCTGTTTTTGTTCGTTGTCGTCGTCGTCGTCAAAGATTTCGGGGATTCGATTACATCGCGAAGACTGAGTGACTGACTGGCGTGATGATAACACGATTTGATTGGATTGGGACAATCGATGAGCACAACTCTATTATTCGAGAAGACGAGACAACCATATAAAAATCCTGCAGCAGAAGACGACGATAGGCTGTACATATTTATGTATTTCGTCGTTTCTATCAATATCTATCTGTCGTACATAATATTTCTAATACGCAAATGCATCATTGACCTTTGTTTGAGCAAGCAAAGCCTCCATCAACAACAATTCTCTCTGGTTTCATTTTATTGCATATCTATCTCGGAACACTTGTAACATTCCCATGAACCAGCTCCTCGTCGCCTCTTGTTGCTGCATTACTGTCTCGTTATTATTGTTACTCAAGTTTATGTATAAACATTTTGAAAGTGTAAAATTACGTCAGTGACACTTCCAAGTCTCGAAAGGACTAATTTATTATCTGCGTATTGAAATTATAAACAAATGAGTCATTTAAGGACAGACTAGGCAAATGAGCAAAATATTTATAGCAATACGTACTTATTTATGCATCATTGTGGGTACATTTTACACTCACAAGCTAGAAAATAATAATGATTTCATAAACTGACATAGGAAATTTTATGTTTGAGTTTCTGCTTCACTTCGTGATGAAACAATGGCGTAAATAATGACACCATTAGACTTACTGCATCACTCAATCTCACAATAGCTTTTATGTTCACATGAGCGTAGGTGGTACCAGTGTAGTAATTAGTGTAAATTTCTATTACATCCTTTATGTAATTGAGGGTTAATTGGAATTAATTGAAATATTTAAAATTGAAAACATTGCGTTTAATATGAAAAACATTGAAATGTTGCGACTCCCGAACTATAAGCATTAAATTAAACACCGTGTAAGCAAACACGGCATGCAAACGTGTCGAAATGAAATACATAAAATTACATTACAAAATGCATCATCAATTAAATTAAAGCAAAGTTGAAAGTCAAGAACTGAAGAAATAAATAAATTCAAAGCGTCTACTTTCATCCCGTCATTATGCATGCAATGAAAAACTACAAAAATATAACTAGGATCTCTTCTGAATTAAAAAATTACGAAATTCATCCCTATAATTTCATCCAAATTTACGAAATTCATGAAAAACTATTCATCACTCACTCTCAAAACTTTCCACCACTGCTGGACTGATTTCTTATGAAAAATTGTCATGAAAACATTTTCAGAAATAAAAACTACCCTCTTCGCTCCGATCTTTCATTCCAAAATTTTTTTCGTGACGACCAGACCGAATTTGTGTTCTCTCTGGGACTTGACTTTCATTTGACTTATCTTTCTCAGGACTTCGAGTACTTATCCGAAAAAAGCTGCATCTTCTTGTTCACCATCTTCATCATGGTTTTGGTAGCGAGTCGGGGGCTTCTCTGTTGCGGGAGGTGGCGAGTGGCGGGGGTCTGGATGCGTAATAAAAGCTTACAAGTTCACTCCACCAACCGCGAGTGCTGTTTTGGGACACCAGTGAGTGGACGAACAGCTGCAATTCCGAACCTTCTCTGTCCAGTGAGTCCTATAACTTTAATTATTATTAATGTTGATAAGCCCCGCTAACTAGTCTGCCATCCACCTCGGCATCTTCCTCCCCTCATAATAATACGTAGTCTCTCAGGCGTAGGCCTTCGTTTTCACAGTCAGTCAGTCCGTCAGGCAGTCTCACTTGAGGTGCCCTCCAGTAAAGTCACCAAGCAAATCAGCCCTTCTTAGATTTTGTTTCGCTTCCTTCTTTGTTTGGTTAGTTGTCAAGTTCAAATTAGTTTCCCATCCGTATACATAAATATAAAGACTGAGCTTGAGTTTAATTTTATTCTCTGTTTTGATTTTGTAGATACGAGGATTTTCCGCGTTCCAGCGTAAGCATAATTTGTTGAAGAAATCAACCGCTGTCCTTCCTGTTGACGCATTTTATCCGATTTTGAAACAACGCATCAGCATGACGACCCCGGCTCCAACTACGAATGGATCACTCTGCCGACAAAACTACCATGAAGAGTGCGAAGGTCACATCAATCGCCAGATAAATATGGAAATGTATGCGAGTTATGTGTACATGTCGATGGTGAGTTTTTTTCAAGTCGTCACGTTTGTCCTCCGTGCATATTATTTTTGTCCGGCATTTGTTAACTTTTTATCTTGACAGACAGTCAGGCGAGGTGGGTAGATAAATAATGCAAATGAATGAAGTCGTTTCTGTTAGGAATTGTCTCTTTATTATTAAGATGAGGAAATTATATTAGGTTATAGTTAGAAGCATAATATGTAAACGAGAGAAATTTGACTTGACATTTGAAACCAATTTGCATCCAATTTGATTTATTTTTAGTCGCCATATGAGATTGTATTATTCATGTCATGCAGAATGAGAGGAAGAAAGAAAGAGCACCCTAAACAAGTATAATGCATGTCACAAAATCAATTCAAGGTACAATTATTGTCCATGTTAGCCACCAGCAGTGACATATAGCAGCGATTGCGAAGGTTTACATTTGGTGATAATCAGTCGAGTCGTTAAGGATATTTAGCATGGCCACAACATACGCAGAATATAAGCATAAAACGTTGGTTAGCCATTCCTAACATCGCAGTTATTATTAAAGTTTTCAATGTATGCATTCTGCCTGCGAAAAGGTGGCTACATACGACGCAGATAGATTTCCTTTGTGGTGAAGAATAACATTAAAATCTATATTGCGCTGCTGAGGTTTCTCCGACCATTTGTTAAATCAGAGTTTAATAAGCGTTATCGGTATAGGGGAACGAAACGATGATGCGATGTTATGTTGTTGTGAAGTCAAGCAAAGTCATGCGAAAGCAAAGGAAAGAAGAAACATAGAAGAAATCCATCGATGCATATATCCTTCACCCATAGCATCAGCAGCAGCAGATCTTTAGTTAGTTGGTTCGTGTGCAAATTTTCGTAGCCACTCGGGTCCTTTTCTTTCGCTGACAGGCAGGCGCATCGTTCCTTTTATGCGAATTCTAGAGTCTCATGACCGGGCATGATTCATCTAGAACAACAATATTAATTAAATTTAGATGATTCTTTTAACTGGAAACTTGCTTATTTCAAAAGCAAGATGATGCAATAGTAATGTACCTCGGATTTGTGGGATGATTTAAGACAACATAGTTTCATGTTCACATAAGTGGAACGCTAGATGAAATGATTTTTTGGTAATTCTTTTCGGTTTAAATGAGCCTGAAATGATCTCATTATCGTAATTTTTTTACACAGGCCTACTATTTCGACCGAGACGATGTTGCTTTCCCCGGTCTGCACAAGTACTTTAAGAAAGCCTCTGATGAAGAACGTGAGCACGCTGAAAAGTTGATGAAGTACCAGAATGACCGTGGGGGTCGCATCATGCTGCAGCCCATCGCGAAGCCATCGAACGATGAATGGAGCTCTCCTTTGGAGGCCATGACTGCAGCTCTTGAACTTGAGAAGAGCGTTAATGCAGTAAGTTTCGTTATCTTTAGTTATCTTATTTTTAGTATCATGCATTTCAGTTCAGTATTGTAATATCCGATTTAAACTAAAATGCACTTATTTGTCATGTTTCAGAACTTGTTGAAGATTCATGGCGTCGCTGGTGGAAATGTTGATCCTCATCTTTGCGACTTTTTGGAGACTCACTTCCTGGACGAACAGGTCAAGTCAATGAAAGAACTCTCCGACTTCATCGTTCAACTGAAACGTTGTGGAACAGGTCTTGGAGAATTTATCTTCGATCAGGAAATCGGAGACAAATAAGCAAAAAAATTTCGTCAAACTACTTTATTTCTCACTATATGATAATTTTCACAACGTGATTTTCCACAACCAGTATAATTTGTAAGCGAACGTATATTGAAATATTATGTATTAAACCTACCCAAAATACAAGCGTATCTATCACCACGGAACAAACATCCTTTATCCCTTCTTAAATATGATTTGACGAAGCGAAGAAAAGGTATACAGTTCGACTTCATATTTTAGTCTAATCATACACATTTTTCAATGAATAAAATAATACAATCATTATCCACCCCACATAATAGATGATGATGGGGTTCTGAAATACAGTGAGTAAATGTAATCACTTACACGTCGTACTCTTCTTTATATATAAAAAAATACTTGCAGCAAATTGAAATAAACTTGAATTCTTACTTATACACAGTTGACAAACAAATGAGGTGACTTATTCGTGTACAAATCATTATCACAACTAAATTTTTCTAGTATTAACCAGTATTAACTGGCTGCGTGGGACTCGTAACCATAATTTATCGTTTTTATACGGACTTCCATTATGCACTTAATACATGAGGCTTCTTCTAAATACATTTCGTTACATAAATATTTATTTTGTGTACTTTGCTCAACTGTGTCGGATGGTTTCCTCTGGAACAGGTTATTTATCAAAGCTTGGGCCATCTTTATCACTGCACATACAGTGAAATGAAATCTGCTCTCATGAGCAGGTCATCAACACATCATGAGATGATGAGATGTCATGCATGAAGGCGAACTCGTCGTATCGTACACCATGAAAAAGACGATGCCGACAACGGCTTATCCACGAAATCATCGTCTCGATCTCTAACCTTGCTCATGAGCTAAAAGTTAGTAAAGCATTTTTTTAACTTTTTTTTAATTTCACGGAGAAAGCTGTGCGAGAAATCGGACCGTGTTTCCGGAACAGAGATGGAGCCGAGGTGGTGAAATTCGGGTGGAGGGGAAGTCGGGGAGAAAGTCGATGACTTTTTTTTTCTCTCTCCTCTCATGCATTTAGTTTACCTAACGGAAGTGGATAGAAAAAAGACAACCCAATTACCGAGTTGGTTGGTTCTGGTAATAAGAAAATTCTACAAAGCCTCTCCCGGCATCGGGTATCCAATTAAATCGGGCTTTTGTCGTATAGTTCATACTGCACCCATCTCAAATCAGTTCAAAATCATTTGATTGCCTCAACAGCTTTGTTTTCATTTGGGAGATGATACGTTTTTCAAGCATCAGGAAGACAGCTAAATACATATACATTTTTAGATAAATTGTGATTACAGATGTGTCCACACTCCTCCATCAGTTTTATCTCGTATGCATATAAAAATAGGCACGGAACAGTACCGCATGGGAGGCTGATCGGTTAGTGTTGAATAACAAATTATTGTGCTGATTGAAACCTTGAAATTTTTTCGCAACAATAGAAACACAGCAGCAGCAGCAGAGCCGAATTGTTTCATAAGCAATGTATTTATATCCTCACGAAACATCAAACGCCCTTTGATTGAAAAAAAGTTATTAGATTGCCAAATGTCCTAAACGAACGACTTCATTGGTTAATTACCATCACGGTGTAATAATAAAACTACATAACTGAACGTCAAAGGCTGTCGTATTTTTCTCCCCTTCTCGGAACTGTTGATTAAACAAATGGGCCATTGTTTGTAATAAATACCAATACGGACACCAAACCCAGCATTCTCTTCAACGAAACGAGATGGAAACGGAGTAATGAAAAAAAGCCAGTTAATTAACAAAGTCAAAAGTATAATCAATATTGGATGAAAGATTTTTTATAAATATAAGTTTATATTACAGTATTTTTCCAACGATGCTGGCTGATTCTGAGGATAACGAGAAAATAAGAAGGATGCAATGTAGTTAATACACACGGAAAAAAGTCGCTCAGATCATTAATGCACTGACATTTCTTCACCTTTCGAGTTGTTGGCATGTTTTTTTCTCTCTCTCTCCGTTATATTTCTTCAGAATAGGAGTTTCAGGTTGTTGCATAATTCGGTTTGTTTGTGTGGAGAAAGCAACTTTTCCCCGAACATTTCGTGTGCCTCCTCTCTGCCATCATTAGATGGGACAATGATACTTTAATTAAAATTTCTACAACCGGTAGCGAGAGGGGAAGAGTGGTGAGAGATGTGAGAATTAAAAAGAAGCATCTGTCCTTAAATGAAATGCATATTAAGTGAGTGAGTGAGTATAGAAATAATAATAGCAAAACGAGTAATAAGCTGCATCACCATCATCATCACGTTCATTAAAATGACATAAATGCCCATCCTTCGTTTCATTTGGTGCTTCTTCTCCTCCTCGACGAAGAAATCTTGTGCTGTTCCTCTGTTCGGACTTTTGAATTAAAAAACGGGAGAGAAAAAGTGTTAGCTGAGGGGGTGGGTAGTAGGTGGGTGGTTGTAGTAGCTAAGGCTAAGAGCGAGAGATGGGTGGTCGTCTTCGTCGCGAGGAGGACGAGGAGACAGGAAAAAAATACTTCCTTCTTCATTTCCTTCGTATTTCCCCCACGCGGTCTATCTCTTTTAATTAACAGCACTAAGAGAGAGAGAGAGAATGGGGACCAAGATTGAAAAAATCATCCATGAAATATCAACTTTCTTCATACATTTATTAATATCCAGCTCACTCTCAGACACGACTTTTACTACTCCTCGTCCTGGCTCATGAGACTGTTACCTCCTCGATGTGCGTACGTATACTTGGTGGCTTTTTGGCTGGAATTGAGTCACGTACTTGGCTATGTATGCATGTACCCTCGCGTAATCAACGGAGCTAGAGGGTGGCAGAAGCATGGCTTTCTTTTCAGATATTCATCCCGAGAAAGTATATACATTTCTTTTAAATGGGTTCGTTTTTAATTGCATGAACCATTTTTTCATTAGAACGGAGACACGTACAGCTAGATGTATAAATCTGTATGTGCATGGGTACAGATTTAGTTGGGCGTCCAATTTTGCCTCCCATGTCGGTGTCATATTCATTCAAACAACATCTTCAAAAACCTGACCCGTTCTAATTTCTATTATTGTCCATGTAACAAGTAGTAGTAGGAGCAGAAATGTGGTACCGAGGTCACAAGAAGAAGAGGGCTTGTCAAGGAAGCTGGTCTGAAGTGAAGCCACGACGTCAAGAGGAAAGGTTTGATCTTCCTCGATGTGACTGACTGAGTGGGTGAGTGAGTAGGTAAACATGTGAATGTGAAGAAATCCCGAGAGTTGAGTTTCAAGATTGAGATCTCTTGTTGTTGTAGCCTCCTCGTAATCGTAATGATGTTTGTAGTGTGGTTCTTGTTCTTCTGGTGGCCCATAAGTGTCTCACTACACAACAATGTATGTATGTACATATGAGGGCTTTCTCCCCCTGTGTATGTGTAGCAGCTAGCACTTGTATTGAGGAAGCCTCACTCAAGTCACATTGATCCCTCTGGTGCACTCTGGCTCGTATAGTTGTTAAGTGTAATTGACTCTTAAATGCTGAGCTGATAAAGTTCCCTTTGCAGAATTTCTCACCAAATGAGAGATCCGTACGCTTTGATAATCTCTTATTACATTGAGTTAAAAACCCGTCAACAAACAATCCCATTCCCACCGACTTGGGTTTAAGCAGGCGAGATAATAATGCTCGGTAAACTTGTCGTGTATGTATGTAGGAGGAGGAGGAGGGCATGGAATGTTTCTCGGCTAATCTAAAGTGTTTACAATTCTCACCACTGATTTCCACCTCCTCGTCTCATCTCCTCTTCTTCTGGGATGTGTGCACAGAGGAAAGTACTTATTTGAACTGCCACTAAGGGAACTACTACTCATCTTAAGACTAAAGTGTATCTGGCTGTTGAAACACTTCTTATTGTTGCTCAGATCACGATATGCCCACTTAATGTGAATCCCTGCAAGCTTATAGTTTGCTTATCTGGGATAAACTTGTGTCAATGGATTTGTTCTGGGCTGAGCTGTAAATGTGTCGCTGTATGGACATGGTATTCATTAAACTGCATATATTAGTCTTGCATATCCGCCCATCATCAATACAAAAGTCAAGAACCGAAACCAAAATCAGCTACAAATGAATGTTACTTGTTGGGTGGAAGGATGTGTGGATTGGATGTCTCGACAGTATTGCTATTAGAACAATGCAAGCCTTTTATAAAGCACGGATTCAGATAACATGACACATCATCAACTCTTGTCATTCAGGGCAAGAAAACAAAAATATGACACTCTTCAACGTCAAATTCCTTGCGGAGGGTCATGGACAAGTGGAGAACAAATAGATTCTGTATGCACATTATGATGCCCGAGGAGTGAATAATATTTAAGTGGATGGAAAAAAAATCTATTTGAGATTAATGGCTTCAGCCAAAAGACATTATTCTCCAGAACTTGGAGCCTACACATTTATTATTTTTATTATTTCTTTATTATTGAGTTTTTTCCACGTACATTATTTATTATTATTCTCAATCCCATTGTGTAGACTCTGTCATTCCAAGTTTTATTGCTTATTATGCACAATTGCGACGAAATAATAACAACGCCACGACTCGAATCAATTATCGTTGCCTAATGTTCACTTTATTAATGTGGCATGTCTATTAAACGCATTAATTACCAGGGGCGACGTGCATGTGTGTAGTTGATTCATACATTCATTGCCAAACTGTGTTGTTTGTGGGTTGTCTCGACCGTCCTGACGGAGATTAACGGAGGAGAGGGATGGATAATTAGAATGTGGGAAAGAAGAGAGTGAGACGACGATTCATCGCCAGTCAGTGGTGGCAGTGTCCCCGATAATGCTGATGATAATGCTTAGCCACCACCACACGAGCAGTAGTGAAAGAAAGACGGACCCTCCTAAACTAAATGTTGCTCATCGGTTGTTTGTTTGCTAGTTAACAGCGACTGTGTCCCCTTAGTGCTTAAGGACGACAAACAAGGGAAAACGGGAAACAAAAACAGTTTGGTTTGGCTGTGGGTATCATCAGTTAGTGAGTGCCAAGTGGCTGTTGAGATGGAAGGAGGCAACGCAAGCGCTGGTGGACAAATACGGAATTCGACGGGGTTTTATTGTCGATTCAGAATTGTAGATTGTAGCATTTAGTAACACGTTCCTGGTTTGGTGGTGCCGGTTTGCTCTCAGCTCTCACTTGCCCTCTGGATCCGATCCGGGTCGTTCTTTCTCCGCTCGCACAGAAACTGATCCAACTAACCAACAGCCCCCTTTTACACGCCACGTTCATGTGCCTCACCTCCTCATTAGTTGGTCGCTCTCAAATTTCACTAATTAATTCCATTGACTTGGACAAGAAGAGTCGAAGAAGAGGACGGAAAGTGGACGGACAGTAGAAAATCAGCACAACAATAAATTGCATATTCCTGCAAAAACATATTATATCACCAAATCAACAAGCAAACAAACAAACCGATCCAGTTTTCAAAAGTTGTGGTTTTCTCTACTTTTCAAGACCATTAACAAATTCTCTCCAAAGTAAGTCTCAGCCAACCTACACGCCGTATTTACTACATCAAACCGAACGAGCACATTTTGGTGTGAGGAAGTTGAGACTGCCCTTGCTTTGTCGTTGGTGAGAGTGTGCCCACCACCAACCACCCACACTTTTACGAACTGCTCGATCCAGCAAAAAGGACAAAATTGTGTTGGGCTGCTCAATTTTTCTGCCCGAGTCTAGTTGATTGAATTGTGTGATACCCATCACCAGCTAAACTGAGTGGAATGAGACAAGCTTTGAGAAAACTCAGGAATCACTAAGAAAGAAAGGAAATTCCCGACGTAAAAAGAAATAGTGAACGCATCGCGTGGTGAACAGACGCATCCTCTCGTCTCATTTATCCATCCGCCGCTTCTACTCTACAGCAGGAACACCTGTCTCAGAATCATCATCAGAGTCGTGAACAACATATTGGTGAGTGAATAATCCTTATTTGCACACTTCGGTTTACTACGAGCATGTCATGTAATATGTGGCTGGGTATAGAATTCGGGGGTAAATTGAGACCAGCCTTGCTTTCTCCGCTGGGAGAAGGAGTCATCGTCATCACATCTAATCCGTTGAAGTGCAAGATGGAAAGGTGGTAGATCTTGCTTCTTGAAGAGTGAGGTGTTGGTTGAGAAAGGCGAAGGAAGAGTGTGAGAGTTTTGGTATATGCTTAGTCTTGGTGGTCGTGGTATTTGCGACGACGAGGTGGATGGGTTATGATGATGAGTGGAGAAGGAGAGAGGGGACAAAAATGGTCTTAAAGGCAATCTCATAATGGATTCTTCAGTCGTCTAACACTGATTGCATGGTCATGATTGCATGTCATTAGTGGTCGATTCTCTTTCCTTCCCTTGATTATTTTACTCCAAGCAGCCAATCTTTCTCGTGGAGGAGGAGAGCGGTGTATAAATGCATCATCAGTTGACTTATCAAGCAGTCTATTTGTCCTCACGACGACACTACGGTTGAGGCTAATACTCCATTTCCAGGGCTTCGTCTTCTTCTTATAATACGTCCACCGACGGATAGTCTTCATTCGCAACATCCGGGGGAGAAAGTTGGATCTTCTTCTCAGGCAGTGGGTGCAATCTTCCTCCCTGCTCTTGCATCATTCCAAAATTCATGGGATTTAGACTCGATAGCAAAATCCTGGACTAATCTCTGCGTTCGAGGTGAAAATAACAAATTTATTTAAAGGCTTCCACTTTTCTCAAACTTGGTAAAATTAAGCCTGGATCTGTACCCTCCTCCGTATGAATTTTCTCCCCGCATAAAATTTTCAATGGTATTTTTTATCTGGAATCCGATGGATTTTCTATATGTAGAAAAATTCCGAAATTTTTAATATCAAATTTTTTAATTAGGGTAACACACACACATTAGTTCGTATAGAGAGAGAGAGGAAACTGCTCAATCTGGGCAAAATATGTCATAACAGACTTACAGCTTATTTCCTTCACTTCCCCCTCCAGAAGCCGTCTGTAATTATAAGTGTCATTATTATGATGAGGATTATTATTATTATTTTGCCTGTCACCTTGGACGGATTGCCGAGTCATAATTTTAACTCGAGGAACTTGAAGTGTGATATTTTTCGGAGTTGTTGTTGATGTTGTTCAGCCTCTCGGTAATATGTGACAGCCTGGATCCCTACGTCCTCGTAGAGGTGGGAGAAGAAGAGAAAGGCCATCTTGAACTTGGTCCTGGTCATGAAGATGGAAGTTTGTGAGAAGTTTGTGTTTATATAAAGTGCCTCTGAACGTACTTATATTTATGCAGCGGGGAAAGGTGGTATTATTCGGGCGAGTTGAAGTGCACAAAGGCAAAAGGACCAAGCATAACCAGACAGGCAGGCATTTGGTCGGTTCAATAATAATTTGTTTGCTTCCTCTTTTCCCCGTCTCTTTCAACTTATTAATTAGTTCGCTTGTCTCATTCTTGCCAACTGTAGAAAGACTCATTTACTTCCAAATTAGATTCTCATCGCATTAAATCCCGTGCCTCAGTGAACAAAGACTAATCACTGAAATTGACCAGATTTTACCCAACCAACCAGTCTGCGCTTAAATCCAACCATCAATCAACCTGACATTAGCAATCAGCCTCCGTCTCCTAATGTTCAATGCATGTATCATCCGAATTATTATTTCTCTCTCCCCACCACCAACCACACTGTCATTCTTGCGCAACTTGCTCCTTCACAAATTACCAATTAGCTCTCGTCGTTAGTTTCAACCACACGACCACCGTTAACAAACTAACAAGCGCACGACCACTCATCCTATAATCAACATTCAGGGTCTCCAATTTTCTTTCCAATTCCACTACTACTACTTGTGGGCTTACTTTTAGTTAGCTTAGTTTCGTAGTAGTAATCGTCGCCCTCTTCGTCCTATTATTTGGGCCTCGCACCACCAACAACAACAAGTCCGTAGACATCTCTCTCTTGCTCTCTCTCTCCCACTTTCACAAACTTTCTCCTCTTCTCCTCTAATGTCACAAAAGCTCATCAATGAGGCAATAAATCAGTCAATTTATCATTATTTACTTTTTCAGTTCTTTACAGCCACTCAAATCCGGCATGATGATCAGATCTGTCAGGAGTAATGCTCCTCCAGATTCTGTTTTACTTTCCCCTGCTTCACAAAAAAACTCTCTCTCTTGTCATCAGTTCTCCTCTTCATGTTTCCGTTTGAATTTGTGTACATACATAGGAACGAACGATTTGTCTGTATACCCACCAATTGGACAGATCTTAATATCGCCATTATTTCTCTGAACAGAACATGCTCCATTAAAAAAAGTCTTCCAGCCAACAATTTTCTTCTTTTTCTGCTTCTTCTTGAGGTTTCCACTCTCTCTCTCTTTACATGCATGGACAAAACCTGGTTAAAAATGGGACAGGGAAGTTTTAATGATGACCGGACTGGACGACTCTTCTCTAATGATTGTCAATTTTCCACTTGCCCCTGGCATTTCTCAGATCGTTATTTGCATTTCAACTCTCAAGACTGACGGCTACTAACTGTCCACCGAGTCATTTTTAGTCGTAGTGAGCTGGACACAGCATCTCGTTATTCTGGTGCAATCTGTTTCATCCAATTTGCAAAAGGCAGATACTTTTCCTTCTTCCCTCTCGTCCTCCTCGTCCCATTCTGTTCGAGTTATTCCTCTAATGGAGTCTCCTCTCTCGAGTGGGATGGTGGTGAACGTATGTACGATATGACGGGTGGCTGTGTCCAGTCAGCAAAGTCAGGCACAAGGAGAAAGAAATGTAGCTTGTTATTCTCCAGCAACCTTAATAAGTTGCTCCTGGTGCTTTCACCCATCTCTGTTGTGTCGCACAAACAGTATTTACTCCGGCAAGGAGGGCTCCATAGTTGCTAAGTGGTAACAGAGAGTCAAGTATATAAAAGCAGCAAGGACAAAAGTACACCGACCAATCAATTGAGTCGAGATTTTCCAGGGACTTGCACAATTTAGAGGATTAATCTCATTCGAAAAGATGGAGATGGCATGTTTATTGATTTATAAAAAGGCAATTATCAACAGTTTTCATATAAACCAAAGAAGTATAAATACTTCTCTATAACCAGTCCAGATCCGCTTCATAGAAAATCTCACAAATTGACAATGACGCTAATTTCGCCTGTGCGGAGGAGTGAATAATTCCCAGTCGCAAACACTTGAGCCAGGAATGTGGAGAAATTTAGGGAACGATTAATAAAGTTGGTACATAAGTCGGCTGGAGGTGAAGTGACAGAAGACTTACCTCGACAATACGTATCACGTAGGGCTCACAATCAGAGACGAGGCAACATGCAACCACCACCAAAACCGGACGACGACGGATGATGCAAAATGAGTAAATCTTTTCTGCTTGTTATTTAGGAAGTTGGTTGGTTACGTGTTATTTTATTATATTGTATGGTCGGGATGGTGGTGTGCTGGAGTGTGCCTCTAACGATACAGTTAATTCTGCGATGGAGATAACGGATTTTGAGGGAGAGAAGAGCAGCCCTGGTCCATTTGCGAGAGAGCTGGTCTGGTTGATCAGTTATGGGAGTCTCTCGTGGCTCCCGTTTCCTCCGACTTTTGGAGACCTAGATTATACGTGATAAATAAAGGAGATAGAAAATATTAATTATAATTGTATCATGGACAATGTTATTTATGACGTTGTTTTATAGTATTAGGAGACTGATACTCTTCGGCACGGTCCCTTCTCTCTCTCGCCAAAGTTCTCTCTCTGCTATTATTATACGGCATAATAATTAATGCAATGACACTGTCTCTCTCTCCCTCTCTGCCACTACCATTTTCCAACTATGGCGACAAAGATTCAGCCTCGCAGTAGTATTATTATTTCCATTTTAACTCTTCTTCTTCCCCTAAAACTTACAAACTAGTTCGGACTTTGTTTGCCTGAAATACTTAGCTGGCCCATTGTTGTTTCTGCTTAACTGTGCAGCCTCGTATTTATTTATTGTCGCCCTGCTGAAAAGAATATTATGAGAAAATCCATTTTTGTGACGGGGAATTAAATCTCGGTAAATCCTGACTCTCTTTGCTGATGAACTATCATTATTGGCAAACATGATCTGTGCAAATGCTCAATGAAAAATAGACAGTGTAATAAAAAGATTTTTTTTCCTTGGTATAATGTAAAGTAGTTGACGTGTAAAATGACCCAGCCAGCAAACAGTGTCGACAACGAGGACGTAACAGAAAATATTATTATTGCGCGATATGACTCTTTCGGCGGCGGTGGTTGTGTCTTTCTAGTTGGCTCCCCCGAATTCCTCGGGTCATTTTAAACATCACCTATTATGGCAACTTGGAGAACAAAAGGTGGTTGGGGACACGTTAGTCACAATTCACAACGATCAAGAACGATACTGCTGCTCCTTTGTGTTCAACAACTGAGGAAACTTAGTTGTTCCGACGAGGGAAAGCTAAATTACTCCAATTGAGCAAGCTGGTTACTTCCCCACACTTCAAGATACGTCCAGAAGTAGTAAATGATCCTGAAATACGTAATATAACGTCCAAATACAAAAGAAAGTTGAAGGAGACCAAAACTTAAAAGCGTGTAGCGACCAAGTCGGAGAAAATTTTGGTTCAATTTGCAACTGTCTTTAGAAAGGCTGATTGCACCTAAGATCCAAATGCTGCCTTGTGCTTGTTCCTCGGTATTAGTAAAGAAAGCTAGAAAACTTAGCTGGCTGCTGCTGCTGCTGAGTCTTGTGCCTTCAGGGGTGGAAATTCTCTCCTGTTCAAGAAGCTGAGCTAGACGAAGAGGGACATTGCCTATTAAAATGAAAAATCGTCCCGCAAGGATTTGTGAAATACTTTTTCATCAGAAAGAGCTACACGGAGAGAGACGCGGATTCATGAAGTCCTCCTTAAATGATAGGTCTATTACTAACGACAGGCAAATAATTTAGGACCAGCACACAACTCAATTTTCCGATTCTCAATCTCACTCTGACACTTGGAATTCTCTCTGAAACGTGATGGCCGATGGGAGAGAAAGAGTAATTCTCTCTCTCCAATCCCCTAGTTTCTCGCTCGCTTTCTTAAAATAACGACCACTGTTACAACGTAGTTATCATGAGGCATTTGCACACATTTGGTCTTATTACCGTCTGATTCTAATGGTAATTTCGTGATCATTCACCCTCAACGAGTAGTCAAAAGCTCTCTTATTCTCCATGCAACAATTTGAACACGAGCCTCTCTCCTCTCCTCAGGCTGGAGTGGGTGGAGGGAATAGTAATAATGCATATGTAGGATTTTCCGTATTTGAGACTGATGATTGTCACTTAAAAGTGGCGTATGAACAGCAGACGGAGAGTTATCTGGGCTGAAAAAGCTGCTGAATTTGTCCGAAATAAAATTGGTAGGAGGGATTGTCTGCGGGTCATTTCGATGAAAAACCGATTCCGGTTTTATCGGGAGAGAGGAAAGTGTAACAAGTTTGGGAAAATCCAGCACCGAGTGACTTCAGCGTGTGCAAATCTTTGTGTCAACCTGACTCAATTATGATTTTATCGCGGCCGAAATAGATGGGCAACTTTCTTTTCTTTCCTTTCCCTGTTTCTTGGTTTCTTTCGGCCGAAGCGCAACTTTTACCCTCGCAGCCAGCGATGTAGGACCGTCGCCCATAAGCCAACCGCCAGTTGCTCCGTGGACCCCATCCACAAGAACATGATGCCCTTCTTATCGCTTCGCCAGAAAACCGTCCTCCACTTCTTCCTCCTCCAGAGAGAGAGGAAAATGTGATGGGGAATTGCATTCTTTCTGCTGGTGGACATTTCTGCAAGGGAATTTGAATATGCCAAATAAATATCATGCCATCATCGCCGGCTTCAGAGTGGCTTCGTAGAGATGGGATAATTGCGGAGGAGGGAAAATAATGTCGCCATGAGGCTAAAAAATTTGTGTACGACCTGGAGAAAGCAAGTGACGATGGGAATAGAATAGTTGGACCTGGTGGTCCTCACGAATCCGTTGTAATACACGGTCTTGTAGGTGTTTGTGAGACCAAGTGCATGTTGAGGTGGAATTCCAAGCATATCTGGCTATTTACGAGAATTCACAATTCACGGGAGGAAAGTGATCGCTTATGGAGTCCACATAGAGAGTTGGTTTGGTCGGTGTGGGTGCTGGGTAGAGGAGAGTAAGCACATTCAGCAACCCGTGGTGTGGATGGAGTCGGAAAGAGCGACAAAAATCAACAATTTTTAACGCTATTCAACGCCCAAGGAGCCAGATCCATTCTGGAATACCTTTCTTTACCTCTTTGCAGATTACAATCTCTATTGTACACAGAATGTCGTTTTTGTAAAACCTTAAAAAAAGAACCTCGAATTCCAATTTCGTTCTCAAATCGATTATGCCGACCCGCAGAGATTGGCCATTTTCCTTCCTTTAATTTTTCTCTTACGACTTACTGCCCACAAATCTGTTCTTCAATGACCATTCTTCTCTTCTTTTTACTCTCTCTCTCTCTCTTGTCCCCCTGCTGCATAATGTCACCCCAAAAACCACCACCCCCACCCACACCGCAGCCTTTCTCCTTCCGCTCAACTTCATCTCTCGATCTATTTTCAATTTCGCCAGGACCAAAATTCTTTTAAAAAACATGATAGGTTACGTTATTGCTGTTGCACATGCGTTTTCCAATTACAAAAATATCGCGATTGCAACAATCATCAATTTCATTTTTCTCTTACTCCAGCTTCTTCATGCAAGTGGAAATCATGAACCTCAAGACGGAGGCAACCAACAGCCTGGAAATGTCGTCCAAAGAATGTGCCGGCTGCGGGAAGAAGATCACCGAAAGGTAAAAAAATCTGTTAGAAAAATCATATTTAAATCTTCTAACTGTAAATTCTAACTCAAATTGTGGATTTATTTACATGTGTATCAGGTACCTACTAAAAGCACTGGACATGTTTTGGCATGAAGACTGTCTCAAATGTGGTTGCTGTGATTGCCGACTTGGAGAAGTGGGTTCAACCCTGTATACAAAAGCCAACCTAATTTTGTGCAAACGAGATTATCTCCGGCTCTTTGGGACCACTGGATATTGTGCAGCGGTACGAAATTTGAGATTTCTTAATTTATAGAAAATAAGCATTATAAATCAACACAACTTAATAAAAATTCCTCGCAAATTGCAGTGTTCCAAAGTCATCCCTGCATTCGAGATGGTCATGAGGGCCAGGAACAATGTCTACCATTTGGAATGTTTCGCTTGCCAACAGTGCAATCACAGGTGAGTCAAGAAACAAACTCACTCCTTCCTTTTACTACGTAACATTCAGAAGAGAAATGCATTTCCTAACAAAGAAACAAACAAACAAATTGCTTCCATGTCACGCATCAGTTTTTTTCTTCAAATTCTGCACTTTTTTGTTACTTCATTTCACCATGTGTTAGTAAATAAGTGTGTAAAAGCACTTGACGCGGTGCTGTTACTGCTTCTCCTTTTGGCGATGATACTCTACGTGCATGAGAAGACATCAATTAGAGATTGTGGTGGGTGTGAGTGTTTATTGCATCGAGTTATAAAATGCAGCATGAGCCGAAGGATAGGAGGCGAGCGAGGGAGAGAAAGCAGGCGTTTTTGGAAGAGGGGAACACAAGAAGCACAGATTTTTAGTGAGGAAATTAAAAAGGGCTAAATTTGATATTTATCATTTAATGAATCACGTGCAGGTGGTATTAGTTCAACTTCTAAACAAGTTGGTAAATTTGGGTCTGTTTATTATACTGCACCATGCGCTCCATCCATTCATCCATCCATCCATCCATGGCATGCTTCCCTATGTGCCGTACTTTTTGTGTGGTTTGGCTGGCTGGCGTGGTGGTGGGTTCGTGATGGGACATATTTTTCCTTGCCCGTCGTTGCTCGACCACTTTCCACACACACATCATGGGGGCAGCAATTACATGATTTTCACCCTCACATCAACCTCTATTTACCTTTTCCTCTGGACATGCTTCCCCAACAAGAAAGCTTAATTACTGCAAATCAGAAGCAATTTCAAGTGTGGTTTTACTGCCCAACTGTCTACATTTAGTTAGGTCAATGTGCTATAACTCAGTTCCTGGGCGGTGTAAATTAACTCGAGTTTATCATGAATGAATGTATTAATTGTTCAACGTGATGGCAGGCAAGTAGTGGGAGGTGTCATTATCTCGCAATATGCAAACAAACCAGTTGGGCTGGATTTCCCCTCGGACAAATCGCTCCTATAAATGCTGCCATGATACCAAGTACGTGGTGCATACACACGCTGATTAACTCCTCCAACTTGCCTACGCCAGGATTAGAAATATTGTAAGCGGCTAGTCGTCGTCGTCCAACTGACTCACAGGATCTTTTAGGAAAGCCTGATTCTCACAATTGGTGGAAGAGTTTTGGGAAATAATTTCTTCCCAATTTTGCCCACATGTGGCACCCAAACGGTGCGGAACAACTGTGTGGACTTGTGGAGATTAATGGAGAAGATTGAACTGGTGAAAGTTAGGAGCACGAGTGTCCCATAAACAATGGCTTTTGATTTGATGACTGTTAGTTGTTATGAGAGTATTAAGTGGAATACAAAGTCAGAATGATTTTCAATGCCCTACTCTCTCAATTGCTTTCTCGCGTGGCATATTCCATCCCAATTAAGCGAGTCGAAAAAAAACACTCCCGTACTTTGGCTCCTTCCGATCGTAGGGTGGTGGTGGTGGTGGTGGTGAGGTTGGAATAGTACATGTAAGACTTTGTTGTTGTATGGAGTGCACATTCTCTTTATTCAATTGCTTATTCCTCATTGAGCCAGACTTTCTCCGGCCCTGATTTCCTGCCAGTTCATGCCAGTCAAGTTAAAATCTGTCGCATGTGACCATTTCAAGAAAGCTTTCAAATGACTTATTTTACGGCCTTTCATTATTAATGGGACACTGCCATGTGTGGCTAAATGTGTAGTTTACCTGATTCGTTTCCAGCTTTATGTCAAGTCCAGGTGAATCGAAGTTCTTTTTGATTTTTCTCCTCGGCCACATGCCAATTAAATTATCCTTCCTTGTTCGTTCGTTCTTTCTTTCTTTTTCTCGCTTAAAACCAACCGCTTTTCATATAAGTTTTTTCTCCTGGTTGACACTTGGATGTGTTATTTATGCAGATTTTGTGTGGGTGATCGCTTCTACCTTTGTGACAATCGAATCCTGTGCGAGTACGACTACGAGGAGAGAATGGTGTTTGCTAACATGAACACAAATGTGGGCCCAAGCTCAATCCCCAGTCTCAAACAGCAGCAGCAACAACAGCAGCAGCAACAACAACAACAACAGCAACAGCGTCCTCAGACCATCTCAGTAAGTCCGGAACTGTGTCCACTTTCTTAATTTCTGCTAAAATATGTAGACAAATCTTGACTAAAAGAATCTAATTTTTCCTTCTCAAACAATTCCAGAACCAGCCAAATAACTCTGTAGACTCCCGAATGCAACTGAACGGTGGGTTACCCCGAGGTCACCCCGGCGCAATGAGAGGTAACGGCTCAGTCTCATCCACGGAATAGTAGTCGGCTCCACTTTCTAAGGCCCCGCAGTTCCTCGCAAAACTTTTAATTTCATCAAGAACACTTCGCCAAAATACATAATTCTTAAACTCTTCACTCTCAAATACTAATTTTTGCCCTGAAAAATATTCGTCGTTGAAAGTGCATCGTGTATTGTGTGACAATTCTTAACCATTGGTAAAATCACTCCAATTTTCAAAGGTACTTAATCAAAAAGAGATAAGTATTACTTATCTGAGCCACTATGACTAAGAAGTGACGGCTTTCTCTCTTGTCTCACTTTTTCCCCGTTTCATGCCACCATTTGCCAACCAATGAGATAGCACATGCAACGACGATGTATTCCTTTCTCAACAGTATGACTCGTAGTGTGTCAATGTGCCCCATTTCAACGTTTCACGATTAATCATACCAATCTAATGTTATCATACTCTACGAATGTTAAATGTGTACATACATACTCGAATTTAAACTAATCGTAATTCTATTTGTATCATGTATGTAATGATGATCGCCATTATTAAAATTTAGCGTTTTCGAAAGTACGGAGTGTGCATATTTACAACACAATTTTCACGTACTGACCACACTTTTAGTAAAATTTCCAACAACTGAAACACTCCAAAATTGCATCATCACCCGTACTTTCACGACTGCGAAAACATTGCAACAGAAAAAAATGTAACGGTGCTTTTGTTTCTACTGCAATACATAAGATAACTTAAAATATAATCATGACGACGACAATTATTCGTAACCCGGGTTATCCGAGATGATGAATTTGTTATGTAAACAATGCTACAAAAATGTTGAATGGTTATCACTATTATCATTCTAATTATTATATTAATTAACGTTGTAATCCTTGAAAAAAATTATTATTGTCGATAATAAAACTGTCTGTGAAACTGAAAAAAACTTCACTTTATTCATGAGTAGAAACTTTGGAATTCGGTCTTTCGAATAGAAATGCTTCAGGGAAAATCACATTTTTATGAGAAACCGACGATAATCTGTTACAGAAAAAGTTGGATTCAATCATCTGCTTAGAATTCAGGTGGAACCTGAAAGAGAAAGTAAGTATGATATGCATTGTGAAAAAACTGGAGAAATGAATGAACCAATGCTTCAGAAAGAGACGGATGAATAGAGGAAAAGGGAAGGAAAGAAGTGGTTGTTGAATGGACGAAGGGTGCCCTCCCAACTATCCATCCCTTCCTTCCCAATTGGTATTCAGGATGGATGAGGCACAAATCTCAGATTGGATTATGAATATTTATTATGAACAAACAATAGCAGTGGTCAGTTCGATTTCGATTGGATTTGGTTGGACATTGCTTTCACCACTGGGTCGAAATCGCTCCATCATCATACATACTTTTGAACCAGTGGTCCCATCCGCATCTCACATCTTGTAGATATTCATGAGAATTTCTGACCACTTTTTACCCCAGGATTTATTACACTATGGGGAAATTGACTTTGAAATGTATTCTTGTTTTCCTCCTCGTACATATCTAGTCTGACACGGAAGAAGAAGAGGGCCCAGGCACCCACCCACCCACCATCAACATCATCCCCATCATCGAGAAGGGAGAAGAGGCATCTCTTTGATTTTCTCTCTGCCGTCTCAGCCCATTGCACTCATTTATTGTTTCGTTCGCGGAAGCAATAATGGGAAGCGCGGCGAAGTAATTGTGCATTTGTGGAGAGATAACAAATGTATTATTTTATACTCTGGTGTGAAACAGCGATTAAGAATTTGACTGCGAGGGGAGGGAAAGAGCATGGGTGAAAATGGGAAAATAATTAAGACCGCAGCAGTGTGGACGGGTATGACAGCAATTGATGAGGTCGTGACTATCGATGTCATGAATTAATGGAGCAGATTAGAATAACCGGTAGACGGCGGACGTGCTTTCCTTCATGTTACACCGGATTGTAGGATGGGGGCCGATGTATTTTTGGCGTTTTGTTGAACTCTTCATGAGGAGAGACCTGCTGTGGGCGGCTGGATGGTGGTTGCTCCAGTGTTGGTAATCAAGCGACAGTTTCATATATGGAGGAGGGACGTTTGGTGGTCGAAAACCAGCCGAGACCGGGTAATCAGTTTTTGTCCGGTCCATTGACCATTGTTGAGTGAAAAAGAAGGAGAGACAACGACGATTGTGGTCGGGTGGATTAATGCCGATGTGGCAATAATAATGATGATGATGGAATGAGGTTACACACAGATATACCCAGGAAAAATACTCGCCCTGGCCGTTTCATAGAGTTGGATTGGCACAAAAGTTAGTTGCCAGCTCTGAGGGAAGTTGTCAAACTACGTCAATTCTCTCGGCCTGTTTTTGGCAAGCGAAAAGGAGGAAATAAAATATGCTGGTATATAGAAAACATTAATTGTGAAAATTCCATGTGGGTTTTTGAAGGTGATTGGCATTTCTACAAGCTGTGCAGTTTTTACTAAAACCATATCGTCATCATCATTGATGATGACGACGACCAAGGATTTACATTACATTATTTGTTCCAAATTGTTTGTTTGAACTGTTTTCCTCTTTCTCCCTTTCTGCCGTATAGCAGAGTAGACCACAACCCAAAGTGAAATTGGAAAAGGGACTGGCAGAGTTTATTGGACAAGAATGATGATGATGATGGAAGCAGTGATTGAACATGACCAGGACATGATCTGCTGCTGCTGGTGGTTGTGGTGGTGGTGGTGGTATACTTAAATGTAGTCCGTCCGTGGAGTTGCCTTGCGGTCTATGAACAAGAAGAAGATCGAAACGTTGGTTTTTGGTCGGTGGTGCTGCATCCACGCATAAATGGACATCACACTAACTGCCAAAAAGATAAGAGACGAAAGCTATTATGAAAGGGGTTTTTCTAATAAAAATGACCGCACATGGGATTCATTCAGCAGATAAGAGAGAGAAAGGGATGGGGGAGGCGGTCGGAGCTATTTTTCGAGCATTCAATCATAAAAGGGCCAGAGACTCATTCTATTTCGCCGACTTTATCTATGACTTCACATTTGAAATTCTATCATGGACGTAATAATTCATAAGAAGGAGCATGAAACAGGGAGCCAGCGAGTGAGCCGACCACCACACGGACGGACCAACAACTTTTACGGACTCTTCTCTTGACTCCATAATGTGGGTTTAAGTTGAATGACTTAACTTCCAAATACGCGCAGGGGGTAATGCCATTATTGTTATTAAGTTACTCCAGAAGGAAAAGTGATCCTTCCGCTGGTCGTAGTTGACATTATTACTGTCCAATTGACTTTTGTGGCTTCTCTCTGCCGTCCTGCTCGCACTTTTTTCGTCCTCTTCCTGGTTGCATGACCATTAGGATGAGGGAGAGGGAGAGGAGTCGGGGAAGAGGAATCTGTCAGATTTTATGCGCTATCAGAGGTGAGTCGTTTTTCAAGGGAGATTTCAAAACAATAAAATGTATGAGCTGGTCGTCGTCCTCGCAGTTGAAGAAGAAGCACCGCTCCGACTGAGGAATTCATTTGAAAGTGACGTTCCGAGGTCCGAGCTCTTGGGTGCTCAAGCAGGATTTGGCCAATGACCAATGGACTTGGAAATTGTACGGCAGATCGCCACCGACCGCTCCACACAATCCCAGCCACAGCAGCACAGAGTCAGTCAGTCCTACGTACATATACAGTAGTTACATTTATGTGATACGGAAATTTTGTAGATTTTATTTCATACGATTTAGTCCTGCCTCGGGTTTCCGAATATTATGGTCACCATCATCATCATCCAGGCAGGCAGGCAACCTTTATCTCGCTACACTTGCCTTCCTACGACCACGACTTCTTCATATTGTTATGGGATATGATGTAATTCCGTTTATGGGACAGATCTCCGCTTTCAAACTTTCGGCTCAAACTTTATTTTTCCAATCCAAACACACAGAGTTCTCAATCCCAACTATTTTCATGACTATTTCTTTGTTTTTCGGGTGAGTAGTATTTTCGGCTTCCAAGCACGACCAGGCATAAACAGCATCAAACTCTTCCCACTACAAACCCACTACCTACTTACACAGCTTAGACGGCTCTCGAATAGTGTAGGTAGTGTAGTGGCTTTGTGTCCTTTCAGCTAATAATTTTAATGCTGCAGACCACTTACTTATTGTCCGCAGAGTAGTCTATAAAGCTCACCGGCCATGCATTTATAGGACAATGTGTAATAATGCTGAGTGAAATTGAGTGTGCTCAATAAGTGGTTGCATGCATGGTCCTCGTATTAGCAGTACCGTGGTCGTCGCCACTGAGGGAGAAATGATGATGACAATAACTGTGTGACCCGTGTGCAGCGTCCATAAACATGGACGACGACGACGACGAGAGCCGTGTGTGGAAATAGGAGACTCATGTCGCAGTTGATTTGAATCTGCGTAAGAACTTAATGCGAAAAGTATAACAATGAGTTGGCTGGTTGAAGTAACAAGAGCTTTATTAGCTTGGGAGATCAAGTGCAGTGCAGGAGCATGGCAAAGACTAATCTCTAATTCTGTAATTGCTGTAATTACGGTGGGAATCGGGAAATGGGTGGCTTAAGTGGGATAAACTCAGTACAGACAAGACGAGCCATACATACATACATCCATCCATCCCCACCACCACTACCACCACTGCTGGATGGATTACTGTCCCATCCTCCGGAATTCTCTCCCACGTCCGGATCCACGGACGTACGCAGAATGAAAATCCAGAGTAAATTCTCAACAAATTATGTCCCTCTCCGACAACAACAACAACACAACTTGCTCTTTTCCACTCAGTAATCATTCCCTCCCAGTAATTAACAGGGAGTAGATGGGTTTCAAATCAGAAAGGATCGAGCGATAACAACCACGTAATATGAAATTCAGCCTGTCAGCCCTTCTCCGACTGCGTAAGCAGATTCAGTCCACTGATAAATAAATATTCAAGTTTGACCCATTGTTTGCGTTTAAATCTCAATTTCCCTGAAACTTGTTTTCTTTTGTGACCAATCCCATTTTTTAGTCGTACATAATTAGCAAAGTTGTGGGAAACTTGGGGGACCGAGAGCGTGGTCAATTGATGAATATGCAGTGGTGAAAGCGGTGGAACGGGACCAGCCAGAGTAAGTTGGCAGTCGTGGTGGTTGGGTTGGTGGTAATGCGTGTGAGATAAAGGAGAGGAGTGAATACAAATGGAGCAAGTTGGGGCAACAATGGGCATAATGAAGAAGTAAGTGGAACCATAGAAAGGTGATTGTGGACCGAATGGGGAAAATTTTTGGACCAGAGTGGCAGCGGAGTCGTCGTCGTCGTTGTCGTCGTCGTCGGAGTAATATTCTTGCTGCCTAATGTCCCCTCTCTTCTCGGACAACTTGGTCCATCCTGTCGCAACATCATGCATATCACGAACCAACTGGCCTGGTAAAACTGGTTGACGGTGGTGGTTGGTGGTGGAGTTTGTGAAATTGGAAACTACCACCAAGCCAAGCCTCTCTCTCTGTCTGTGATATTGGATGAGTGTCGGAAAAGCGATGTCAGCTCTGCAATCGCGATACGCGATCATAATTGAATCGAGGAGGAGAGGTTATGAACTATCAACTCCCGGATCTCCAGGCCCTTGGGATATGTTGTAGTTTCCCATGAATGAACAACAACCCTGAAGTGGTTGGATGCCATGGCCATATTTGCGCCCGCCACACCCACTTAATAAGAAATATATAAGAAAGCAACTATCTGGGAGTATAATGGTGAAAGAAATTTCAAAATCCGACTAAAATTGGATTTTTGGCGTGGATTTTAATGAGTGAAAGCTGGAGTGAAAGCGGTTGTTGGGCACCTTTGAGTGGGTGTGGCGGGCGCAAATGTGGCCATGGCATCAAACCACTTCAGGGTTCTTGTTCATTCATGGGACA